TTAAATGTTTTGGTTATGAGATATATGACTTATGAAATTGATGATGAATTATGAACTCTCTTATGAAATTGATATTTCATTAGTGAGTTGTTCACTACACAAATCAATTATGTATCTATAAGCTATTGGTTCAGTCGCAGTTTTTTATATTTATGATAACTGTCCAAAATAATAAAGAACGCACCTCTAACAGGCAAAATGTTTTATTAAAAATTTATATTATAAAGGGAATTTTAAGAAAATGTTTTATCATTTAGTTTTTTACTCTTTTGTTTCATAGATTTAATAATATTTGTGGTGAACGATTCATTTAGATAGGCAACAATTTTGATTTTGTTTAAACCATGTAGTGATTGCACCTTGGTTGAGACAGATACCTAAGTACAACATTGAAAAATCTTTAAATAGAAAATTTGATAATTTATGTTGCAATATTTTAATTAATGATACATTCTATAAGTATATTTTAATTAAATGTTAATATTAATGTATATTTTAATTCACAAATTATGAAGTTTGAAGCAATGATCTCGTTTTAAGACAAGCAACTTTGATGAGGGTATTTCGGTTTATTAAGTAAATTTTTCTTCTTTCTAAAATAGTTAACCTCCATGTCCTATAACCAAATGAAATCCTTTGTTTAAATCACTTATATAAATTTTCAACTTACGTTCTCCTTCCTTCACCTCTTAAAAATACTATACCTGTATTATCAAACTTGGAACAAGATTTTTGTAGAAAATGGTATTAAAATCCACTATATTTTTGCTGCAATGAGTGATACTGTAAGTAATGCGTTCAACATGCTAATATTAGTTTCTTTAATCGCGATTCTACATCGACCCGTTTTTAGGTTTTAACTGAGACCTGAAATTCTTTGTATAACATCTGTTACTGTTATAAATATATGACTGTTGTCTGAAGCATTAGGTATGCTTGACTGTAAACAAATTGTACTTCGGAGAAGTTCGCGATATCTACTTTAAATGACGACAAATTTCAAAGCGTTTGAGTCGGACTCGGAAGAAATATAATACAGAGAAAAAAGGTTTGTGCATTTATATGTGGTCTTTTAGATTGTAAATCTGGCTATAATTATCGAAGTTAAAAATTGAGACGTGTAAAGTATCTCACTCTTTTCAACCTATAAGTAATTGAATTCAAATTTATGAAGGGAAAAAAAAACTGAATTTGTGAACTAATGACTTAAATGGACAAATATTTTTATGAATTATTATATAAATGAATTTTTTCTTTCAAATCTCTCGTTTTTGAAGTGATTTTCTTCTTTCTCTAAGAAAAACCTTTTAAAATAAGCTGTGCACAAATTTTTGATAACTTTTAAAACACTTTTTATCATAAAAAAAAAGACTTCATGATAAATTAAAGAAGGCCTCGATTATCCGAATACTTCTATTAACCAAAGTCGAATCCAAAGTGTGCATTTTTATTATAGGCATTTTCTTTTTTCAATTTCAATAATTTCTCAGTTCAGTTATACACGAGGCCTTCAAAATTATTTAAAAGCAAAAACATTATTTGTAACAAATGAACGCCTTTTGATATGCTCTATTAAAAATGTTAAATGTTATTAAAATTAACTATTTGAGCAAGCTTTTCTGGAAATATGTAGGCTTAAATAGTCAGTTTTCTTTAGTCTAAGTGGCACTTTCTGCAACTTGCAATACGCCTAGAGTGCACCTCCTTCAACTTACAATTCACCCAAAAATAAAATTATTGCTTGACCTTTAAGTTTTAAAGAAAGCAATTACTACTGAATGGAAAAAAAAGGTAGACATAATAAGTTTGCATAGATAGAAGATGCATTTTTTCACAAAACAGAATAAGCATTCTGTGTTTGGTCACCAATGAAGGTTTTTTTATTACTGAACAGAAACTGTAGTATATTTTTTGCGTGGTATTATTGGCTTCCCCCCCCACGTGATTAGCTTTATTCATACATATGATTAAGTTCACCCTTTCTTGATCTTGAAAGTTTTGTTGTAATATAGAAGTTGTTATTTGCACACTCTAACCATTTTGAAATTTACTATAGGAATTATGACCTTTTGATTTTTGAAATTTTTATAAAACATAATAATATTCTTATTATGTTAACGGACATACTGCTAAATCTTTTTATAAAAAATAAGCACAGTTTGAGTATTTCAAAAAATTCATTTTTTACTATGCACAACAATAAAAATTTTTTCCTATTTCTGTAAGTTTTTTTTTATATAATCAACATTAAAAAACTAATAGCAAAAACATTTTCAAAATCTTTACTCAATTCCATATTGACATGATAATTTTTGGCAAAGAACTTAATTTTTGGACACAATAATTTATAAGATTAATATTATTGAATACATTGAATTAATCAAAAAAAAAGTATGACATGAATCAAGCAGAATAAAAATATGAAATTGTGTTACAAATGTAAATTAGTGAATGGTTTCCAGTTACTGACTTTAAAATCAAAATATAAAGAGATGAATAAAATATTTATTAAATAAGAGAAGAGACCCTCAATTTGCACTTAAAGATCTTGTGTTTTTCAAGTTATTCATTTTTATAAATACATTTCAGTAAGATAAATAAGAATCATGAAATACATAGTACTATTAGTGGAGCGATCCTCAGTGCAAACTTATACGATTTTAAAATTACAATCAAATCATATTTCAATTAAACTAAATTGATAAAATGAGATGAAAATTTCTTAAGTAATGCAAAACTCTGCAGTTGGTGATTGCCTTGACTAAGTTCAAATACTAATCAGTGAATGATCCTCAAGTTAAAAAATTATTACACTGATTTATAAATAGAATAATATGCTTATATCATCGGCTTTCCAAAAATTCTTAAATAATTTTTCAGAGGGTTTGGTTTCTTAACAGCAAAGAAAATAGTGAAAAAAAGAAAGCACAATTATAATTTTCATTTCAGGACAAAATTTATAATTTTTAGTTGGTCTCTTGGATCAACTAAAATTTGAGAGATTTTTGGTTCCATTCTGGAGGGCGGGAGATGAAGCCTAAATTGGGAAGTCTCTCACAAAATATAGCAGAATAGTCATATCTTCCAGTAAATATGGCTACATATACAGAGCATGAACTAAAAAAGTGAACAACATGAACAAATTTAGATTTATAGATCAGAATTTTATCTACTAAAACTAAATCATAATAGTTCAAAGACCTTGTTTTAAATGTGATGATTAATTAGAGCAGGTGTGACATTAGGTCACAGAGTTTTGAAAATAATACATTTATAAACACTCTCCCTCCTGTCCTGTGCATGCATCTTCTTGGAATTTCTAGCATTCAGTGCAGGTAACCACTGCGAGACATTGCTTTTTGTCATTTCATTTGCTTTTTGTCAAGAATCTCATCCAGTTGCATGAATAAAAATGCCTCCCTCCCATGATGACTCCTTTGCGCCTTCACCTCTTCACCAACTAGTATAAATGTCCACTCTAAAGTTATCCACCAAAATCAATAAAAAACAATTATTACATGATTTTCCTTCATCCTTCAGGCCTTGTATTTAAAATTCTTTTAGTACCCTCAGCAAAATTTAAGTACAAGTTGTATATTGTTCACATGGTTTTTAAAAAGATAAATTTACAACAAAAAACTGCTGTGGCACAAATGTAATTGTATTTCTTGATTAACATGGTCAACTTAATTTTTAGGTATGTTTTAGCCATATTTACTCCTGTCATATTTTTTTAAATTTAATATTTTTTCCTAAAAGTCTAATTTATTCCTTTTTTAAATATAGCTGAGATTATAACTTTAACTAATGTAAATAAGCATGTGTAGAGATACCCCCACTCTTTTTATTTTTTAAATGACAGAGCAGGTGATATATTAAGTTACAATATCAGGCACAAAAACGTACTTTCTTTGAATACATATACATTATTTTTGACAGTTTCAGATTTTTGACCCTCAAAATATGGGGGATAGCTACAATCGGGAAAATAAGGTTCCAATAGTCTGGTCTGGACAGCGGTCGAAATTTTCAACCCTTAATGTTAATTTTACTTTTTGCCAATTTCGACATATCTTGAGAAATTTTTCAGGGAGGCAAAAAATTTGCACACAGGTATATAATTTTTTTATCCAAAGATAATTCCATGCAAAAAATATTTTTTAACAATTATTTATTACTTTATTTAGTAATAGTTAGAACAGTATTGTATGGTAAGACATATAACTTTTTACATTATTTTAAATCGCAAAATACAAAATTCGAGCACAATAGGTTTAATAATTTCTGATTTTTCAAATATTAGAAAATTTTATGTTTAGAATTAAATTCTTAAATTTAAATATGCATGAAGACAATCTAATGTCTCAGCCGTAACAGCAAAGACACAGTAAAATATTTTAATCAAAAATATAGGACCTTTTAAAAGTCATACAAATGAATCAATAGAAACCAAGTTATTATATACAATATATTTTATTAAACTATGAGCTTTTTCATGAAAACACAACTTTCAATGTTTTACAGTACTTTCATATTGTAATTTCCACTTTGCATGTAGAAATGGTAATAATAATCGTAATTAAAAAAATAAATGACTAAAAGTCAGACAATAATAAAAAAACATAAGCAAAAAAATCTAATATTTTGAATGTAAATTGGAACACTGGAATAAATTTCTGAGAAAAATATAAAATTTATTCTTTAAAAGATGTCTTTGGTGGTAAAAAGTGAAAAAGTAAAAAATGAAAATTATGATTTTTGTTTTGAATATTTTAGAAAGCAATATTACTTACAATATTAACTATAATATTGTAAAAAAATTGTCTGATAAAAATTTATAAGTAAAAGCATCCTATTTCAATTATTTATAATTGTCGATAAATGGAAATTCAATAAAAAAAGCTTTGAGTTTTGAATGGATCTTGAATTGAAAATACTAAAATCTTAAACTTCAAAGAAAAAAAAATCGGAAAAATGAAAGGTATTTAAAATATAAGACATTTTAAGGCATTACTACAAAACTTTAATAGAAATATGACAGTTTCTAGGTCTACAAATGTATCTTCCAGTGAATATCAGAATTACTGTAAAATATATTTCATTATTCATTTCTCTTATTTTCTGCAACATTTTCAGCCTAATCCAACCATCAGGAAGACAAATTATAGCATTCTAAATGATCTAATACACATGCAAATGAAGAGTAGGTATTGAAAAGTTTTCTCTCTGCTTTTGGCATAATTTTTTCTAGCATGAAAATTAAATGGTGATGCAGACTCGTAAAAGTAGCTCCAAATGAAACAGCAGTATCAATCCAATCAGTAACGCAATTTGAAGGTGTTCTGTCAGTTCCAGTAAAAAGAGTTGGATTTTGGAGAAGACCTCGGGCACACATAACACCTAAAAAGATACAATAATCATGAGACTTAAATAAAATAAGCTAAATTTTTCACTTTCAGTTTTTCATAGCTGTCAGTGTTTTTTAAATTTTTCATTAGATTCGATTTTTATATTTAAAGTAATGATAAAATTTATGCTTATCTATTTAATTTCATGATTTTTAAATCTTTAAAATTATTATGACCATCACACGTAAATTGCATAATAATTATATATAAGAGTGTATTAGTTTATTTACGATCCAGCAAAAAAACAATTTTGTATGGAACTATAAATCTATTGTCATTTCAATACCACTGAAATGATCATCCTTGGAAAAAGTCAAAATTGGCATGCAAAAGACAAAGCTTATTGAAAAATAAGTTTTTAAACATGGTAATTAGGATAGTTGGTTTCAATTCTGAAAAAAGGTGTTCATTTTATCACTATATTTCTTATAATGTCTCAATATATAACCTAAGTTTTCCCTGTCAGGCAAGATGAACATTAGCAACTATGTAAAAAAGTTTTTTAAAAAATAGGGTATTTCTATGTAAATTTTAGTATCTCCTAAGTGTAACACCCTACAAAATAAAAATACATAAGTTGAAGCTAATGAAATTTTCCATTAATTTTAGCAGTATCCTTGGTTGACCATAGTAGCATTCAGAATATACTAAAATAATAAAGATGGCAATATTCTCACCATTGACACCAGTGGCCTCTTGAAGCGTGACAATATCATCTAAGTGAAATACATCGCCATTTCCAACAACAGGTATGGATACATTTTCTTTTACTAATTTTATAGCATCTACATTGATTGGCTCATTTCTTTGTGACTTTGTTCGACCATGAACACTAATAAAAGATACACCAGCTTGCTCCGCTCTTTTGCAGTATTCTACTGTTTTTCTGTAAGGGATATGCCATTTAAAAATTGAAAGATAAATTCCATATTGCCAATTCTTGAAATGTACTCATGACTAGAGCTTGAAATTTACATGATTTTCATAGCTTTTTAGTACACATATAATATTAGACTGGTGACAAAAAAAAGAAACCATCTACAATTGACACATTTCATGAGCATATCTATTTTTTGGAGATTTCAGATATATTTACCCAGTGAAAATGCAGAAAATTTATTTTACAAAATCTTATCTTATTTTTCGAAAAATAATTCTTTTTCCACACGTTTTATGTCAATCATTAATTCCTTTAGAGTTGCAAAGATGGGTATTTAAAAATCTAAAATTGAAAGTTTTCATTATATTTTTTCCGGTTGCATATTTGAGAATTTTATACACAATTTCTTTAGAACAAAGATATGCAATGAGTTCATTCTTTACTAATAATTTAATTTAATATTTTTGAACTGACATTCTGATAAAATTAGTTCCAGTTTATTGTTAAGATTGTCTTTATATTTATTCGTTTTATCAACATAGAATAATCAAAAAATATTTTGAGAAAAAAGCTTTACAAAAGACAGATCAAAAAGTAAAATTATATCTTTTTTTTATATTTTCAAACAGATAAAACACCAATTTAATAATTATCACCACCACTCAAGTATATCATCAATGAGAAGTTAAAAGAAACATTTAATAGACATTTTAGTTTATAAAACTTTTTGTAATAAAAAGTTATTATATATTAAAATGAAATCAGAAAGTTTAAAACTCAATGTTTTAACTTTATTCAACAAGGTTCACTTTTTCAAATGAACCTTAAGCAAAAGTATTAACCACAACAAAGAATACACCAATAAGGATCATTCAAACAGTTATGCTCTGCCACCTTAACATAAAAATACAAATACAGTACTGGAATTTTCATTTTGCATCAGTTTGTGTGAGAAAAACAAAGAATGGGATGTAAGATTTTAAAAAATAAATATCTTTGCTTAGGACAGAAAAGTTGACATGTCTGTTTGACTTGAGAATTTTAAAGTTTATGTGATTCTGTGACTAACTAACCTAATATTTTAAAAAAGAAAATCTTTCGTCTTATTTAAGAGAATTAAAGAACATTACCTTGAATCGTGCATAATCTTTTTAAATCTTTATTCTTACATAAATTATACCATAAAATATTAAAACAAGCCCCCCCCCCTATAGTTTCATACAAATATTGACCAGCGATCACGACCATAAACCCTCATCTATTCTCCTCATCCAGGCGTACATCATGAATGGATACACAAACGATAATCCTTAAATTTTGCAGATACCTTTTTAAAATTAACAGGAGTGACTGCAGAATTTCAAAAAATCAAAGAACATTATCGGAATCCCTGCCATTTAAAATGAAACATTGAGATTAAAATCCGAATGATTTACGAATAAAACATCGTGACGCATGTTCACACAAATAAATAATCACTTATCGCAATTTGTATTCAAATGATTCAATCCCATACCGCGATTTAGATTAAAAAAATTTAAAAATCCAAAATAATATCGTGATTCATATTCCCACAATTACATTATATTAATAAGAAATATCAGTTTACATGATTTAAAAGTTATGCACAGGGATTTGTTTTCAAACGATTTAAAAATTGCATACCACGGTACATGTAATTTAAAAACTAAATGGTGTGATTTTTACTCCGGCATCTTTAAAATTCAATATCTCCATTTGCATACGCACGATTTTAAAATCGAGCTTTAAGATTACATTCACACGACTTTAAAAATCAAACGTCGTGATTTGTATTCCAATGATTTTAAAATCAAACATAGGGATTCATATTCACGCGATTTCAGACGCATCATTTGAAGGATTTTCTGATTTCGATTAGAAATGGTTATAAATAAATATATTTAAATTAAATCTTTCCTTATTTGTGCTTATTTTTTTAAAAGAATTTTTAATTTAAAATTTTTTGAATTTATGTTAATTGGTTTTGACTATACAATTGTAATTTAATAAACAAGAGTAGAGGTGAAAGGTCAGTATTATTATTGTGAGTATTACTTAATTTTACTTTTATTTGTTTCATGCTAAATTAAATAGAGTAGCATTTCCGCTTTATTAGGTATGTTTGATTTTCATAAAAAATTTGCATTTTCCTCTTGCTACTGTTTATCTCTTTTTACTTCATCAACATTTGGGTAGTGGTTAATCAGTATTTTTAGTTAACCTGAGTTAAACAAATTATGTTACAATTGGCAAGCTAAAAATGTATGAAAAATATGTAAGTGATTTTGTTTATGCATAGTTTAATTTCATTGCTTTCAAAAGTGAAAATTTTATTAAATAATCAATGTACTCATTTAAAACTTAATTTAAAAAAAATTCTTCATAGTACAAACATGGTTAACTAAAACATCAGTTTCCCTTAAACTTTTATTTGTTATATAGAATTTTTAATTAATTTGGATTTCTAAGTCAGAGAAAATTTTTAAAAAAGTATCCTGAAATCAATAGAAAATGTTTTTTTTTAAAGGAAAATAAAGGGAAAAAACAAACATTTAGAAAAGAAATGAGGGGCTTTTAAATGAGTCTAGAAGGTATTTATTTTCCATAGTGATAAAAGTAAATGTATTGTAATTAAATGTAAATTTAGGTTTGTATAGCTATCTTTGATACTGATTGATTTTAACAGTCTCTTTATTATTAAATTTGCTACTGGTACCCTAAAATACATCTGTGACAAAAATATCAACATATTTTATGAAAATTTGTGTATTTTTTTATTTCACTAAGAAATTGAAAAAAATGTGTAGATATTACAACTATTGTTATTTAGTCAAATTTCAAGCTTAATAGTTTCTCTTGCAGGACTACTTGGGTATTTTTTATTTAGAGTAATCATGCATAAACTGACATCGCTTTTATTTAAAAAAAAGTTCCTATGATAATTAATTTATACTAGTAGATATAGTATATGGTTAAGAATAAAATACTATTTAATAATTTCATTTCAGTCATCGACAAAAACTTTACACAGGTTTCATTCATAACATAATTCTTCTCTACATAAATATCATAAAAACATCTGTAGAAAAAATTAACTTATTTATTTCAATCTAGCTAAAAGAAGAATAAATAAAGCTTTATTTTTACCTAAGGTCGTCATGTACTCTTATTTTTAATGAAACAGTATATCTTGAATCTGAAATTCTGTTTCTTACTTGATGAATCATATCTTGTACTATTTCAGGCTTCTCTAAAAGACAGGCTCCATATCCATCAGACATTGCCCATCTATTGAATGGAGAATAAATCTATTTAGTGGTACGCTTAAACAGGTGAAACACAAACAATGATATACTTCATTTGATTACAGGAAAATTATACACAAATTCAAAAAATAAATAGCACATAACTTACGAAATTGCGAAACATGGTTACACTTAAGTGAAAAGGAATGTGTGTATTATTCTGTGAAAAACATTGTATAGTGACTTAAAACAATACCATAGAGAAATAATTGTTCTTCAACTCTTAAAAGTCTAATATTTTATATTATATATATTTGATTCAGTTTCAATAATAAGTGATGGGAATTAAAATTATCAAAAGTAAATTCATTAAAACAAAACACAGATTCTGAAATAAGAATGTAAAAACTATCAACCTGGGGCTTGAGCGGCTACCAGGCGCGACGGCAGGTGGTGGATAGCCGAATGTCCTGTAGCACTGACAGGATAGCCTCTGAATAACAAATAGGAGGTCGCAAACCAACTCCCGTAACCCATCCCGTAATTCATAACTTCTCCCGTACGCGACCCGTGCCTTGGGGAAATGGCACTGCGGTTATAGTGTCTTAACGGAGCCTCTAGTTTGACTGGCGAACATCTAGAGTAATTGCCTTACCCAGTAACTCAGGCAATGCTGGGCTGACTTTCTTTACCTGAGCTTTTTATTTGAGGTAATTTATGGCTGAAAATGACAAAAATACAACTCAAATTACTGCATTTGCAGGTGAAAATCCCAAAGTAGACCTTTCTGCAAAAGAAAAGGAAACTAGGGAAAAACCAACTGAAGGAGAAAAAATGAACCCTTCATCAAAAGAGGTAGAAATGACCTCTACCCAATCAACATCTCAAGTGGGGCAGGAAGCTATTAATAGCATGACTGCCTCCATGGATGGGATCAAACTTAAAAAAAGACTATCTGGTGCATAGAAAAAGAAACTTGCCCGAGAAAAGAAGATGGCTGAAGGTACCTGGGTAGAAAACCCCAAACCAAAGCAGAGAGGCGAGAAAAGATAAAGCCAAAGGATGGAACAAGATGTAGCCCCAAAGGCTGCCAGGAAAGAAGGACCTGAAGGTATAACCTTTAAGGAAGCTCTAACCGCAGTTAAAATGGCTGTGATTCTTGAAGGACATCCTCTTGAGCGCTTATCCGAAGAACAGGCCCTAGACCTTGAGTTCTTGATAACTGAAAAAATTTCTAGAAATGAAGAGGGTTTTGTCCCCACTTTTCTTTCTTGCAGACTAGAAAATGGGGCACTTATCATCAATTGTGCAGATCTGGGGAGCTCTAAGTGGCTGGAACAGATTGTAGTTGAGATAAACCCATGGCAGGAGCAAACTCTCTTGGTAGGAGAGGCAAGGAAACTTGTCAGAACTACTAAGATCATTGCTAAACTGCCGAAAGTCTGTAGTAAACTGGAGTCCAAAGAGGTTCTGAGAAAGATTGAGGCACAAAATGGTGGGCTTACTCCAACCGAATGGAACATACTTCATCGGAAGAATGAACCATCAGGACAGACCATCGTCCTTAGCGTGCCTGAACTGGACGCGGCTACACTTGGCAAAAGGGGATATAAATTTTATATCGGACTTCACCAAGTTCAAGCCAAAGTCCTAGACAAACCTTCCAAAAACGATGGGGGTGAAGGTTCTTCAAGCCAACATCCACCACAGTAGAAGTGGCACCACAAACCTCACCAAGAAATTTCTTGATGAGGATTTTCACCTGGCCCTGATCCAAGAACCTTGGCTTGTCAGGGGAAAAATCAGTGGCCTCAAAGGAACAAAAGGTAAGCTCATTTATAATCTTAATAGTGAAGCTAGAACATGTATCCTAATAGATAAAGATATTAAGGTTCTACCTCTAACAGATTTTATTCATAGGGATTTAACAGCAGTGAAAGTCAGACTCAACATAGAGGGAAGAGACCGAGAAATTGTTTTTTGCTCAGTCTACCTACCCTATGAAGAGAAGGCTCCACCTGACCAAACACTGCACAAACTCCTGCAGTTTTGTGCAGAAAACAGCTTGCAGGTAGTCTTAGGGCTGGACTGCAATGCTCACCATACTGTATGGGGCAGCACAGACACAAATAAAAGAGGTGAGTGTCTTTTAGAATTTATTCTTAATTACAATTTAGATATTTTGAATAAAGGCAATGACCCTACCTTTATAACTTCTAATCGTTCTGAAGTAATTGACATTACTATAGCAACACCGGCTATTAGTAAAAATATCACGAAATGGAAAGTAGATGGGAGACCATCAGGTTCCGACCATCAAAACATCCATTTTGAAATAAACTCCAATATAAATATTGACCGCTGCTTCANGGTAACGTCAGTCGTCTCTATCCTGGACTGTAGACTACCATTAAAAATTTTTTTAATTGCCATTCCTTCCTCCTAACTTGTTGAACGTGGATTCAGTGCAGTTACAGATCTTGTCACAAAAAGGAGAAATCAACTCGAAATTGTGCAGCGAGTGTATTTGCGTCTTCATCTAAAAGTATTAAACCGACTGTAAAGAAATTGGTTCTGAACCATTAAGTACAATCACCCCCCCCCCAACATAGTTACTTGAATGTCTCGTTGATACTTCTTTTTACTGTTAAAAATCTTTTTGGGTGTTTTTTCATTTATCTAATTAAGAATAAATCATTTTTTAAGCATAGGTCTCTTTGTTGTATTTTTTTTCCTTAAACGTATTTGTTTTGATCATAACAAATAGACTGCGTTTACCTGTCATGAGAAAATTATCGAGTTAATGTACACATTATTTAAAAAAAAAAAATTTAAAGCACAAAAAAATTGCTTAAAGATGTTGCTTCTTATAATTCAGCACTTCTCCCTCCGTCCCCATGCTCTAAATAACTAGATTTTCACGAAGGGGGGCGTTGAAATGCTTTTTGCTCCTTAAGGGTTGCAACGTTAAAAAGGTTGAGAATCTATGATGTAAATGATATAATCTGATAAATTGTTTACTCATTGCAAACGATTTAATTATTAGTGCACAAGTTCCGAAGCGAAATGCAAATTTCTTCACTGAATATAACATGTCTGTGAATTTAAAGAAAATTACCTTCGAATCTTTTTCAATCCTCCTGATCTAAAGTACAATACCCATACTAGCAAGCTTAATAACTTAGGAGTTAAGTTTGATAAAAAAATTCAACTAGAAATTTCAAATTAAATCAATATCAAACCACAGTCAATAGAGAATAACTGTTCTGAAAAGTCTAACTGGATCCCGATAGAGATGTGATAGACCACAAATCTTAATGTTACTTATAGGACTTTCATTCTACCTTTTATTACATACTTTAGCGTAAACTTAATAACAGCAAATAATCAAATTTTTAAAAAACTAGACCTTTTACAATGTCAATCATTGAAATTTGTAACTGGAGTCAACACCGATAGATGCAATGCCTTTATCGACAAATAATAAAACCATTATAACTATAATTGAAAAATTATCTCTAATTCTTTATGAGAAACTAATTAGAATCACAAGAAAAGATAGAAATTTAAAAATTTAAAAAAAAAATGTATTCAATTTGTTTGGGACCTCAAGCAGAATTTTGAATTGCCAGCTTACATTGAAGACATTGTAAGAACTCACTGAATATGATGTATGTTGAAACAAGCTTCTGATTTCTAGCTTTTGTAAGAGAAACAATTCGGGTGTGTTAAGGTGTTTAGCTCCATATACTAGTGACAAACATTACCTAGAATGGGATACATATATACACAGATGGCTCCCTTTATGAAAATCCTGATTCGCAATTGTAGGAGTTTTTTTTCTACTTCTCCTTTAATGCCTCTGCGGAAAAATACCAAACAGTTTTTGATGGAGAACTAAAGGCTACTCGAATAATTCAAAAGCATCAACATATTTTCTGATTCTCAAGATTCAGACGATTAGTTCAACTGAGCAGCTGTCATCCAAAAAAATCTCTTGGGTCAACAACATTTGCGAGAGTTTTGTCTAAAGATAAAACGTTCTATATTTCTTCATCTAGCCATCGTCTCACTTTTAGAAACAAATATGTTGACACAGTAATAAAAGGCGTTCTAGACTTCAAAGTTGCTTAAATAGTTTTTGATTTCTAAAAAGTATTGAAGGAAGAATACCCTAATAGATAAGGAAGCTTTTTCCACGTGAAGGCTTTTTTCAGAAGAAGGCATTCTGTAAACGCGTTAAGCTTATTGGTTATGCAAGTTTTCAATGTAATTTTTGAACATCCTGTGTAAAGATCTAATTTTGTGGTAATTTATTACATGCATCAGATAATTGTTAAACAACTCATTCTGTTATGTTCATTCTAACTATTGCTTAAGTAGCGTTTTGCTTAAAAAGTGACGTAGTTGCTAAAATTGTACGTCTTGGTTACTTTTAAAGTGAACCAGAACGATTTAGAAGCTAATTCAAATGTCTAATTATAAGTTTTTAATATAATTTAGTATCAGTTTCATTTACTATAATAATTTCTCTAGCTATAAAAATGTCACATCATTTGTACACGAATGTAATTCATGAAATCAAATAATACTTTTAATTACCTATTTAATGACATGCAAGTTTGTTGGCTATATGTTTCTGTATAATACAAGTTATACAGCTTTTGGATGGTTATTCGACTAACTCAAAACACTTAAACTCTTTGGAGTTTTCTACGAATGTTGCATTAATTATGTTACAACTATCAGGACACAGGACTCCAACCATTGAACTGGTCATTTTTAAACCCTTTAAACAGTTAGTTGAAAAGTTGCTAAGTTATCCTGACCTAATCACATAGTATCAAGAGTCGAATCTAGTGACTGAGGCTGGCATTATGGCAGCAAAAATTGAATCTGCTCAAGAATTTAACTGTTTAGGTGTGTGACCCGTTAATCCACCAGTTTTTAATGAAACTCTTTTTCACCACTTAAAACTACGATCAGGGAGACGAATCAATCGGATTTAAGTGACGAGCGTTCTCGTGATGCAAGCAATCATACGGATTCAATAGACATATCTGTTTCAATGCATTCCTCTACACCGAAGGTTTTAATTAAATAAATTTCCGTGACTTCAATACCCAAAGAGTTAATCACTTCTAAATCAGAAAGAACTGCAGTATTAAGAAGCAGACCCTTATAAAATCAGTTCTTTTTAAATAACTGTTTTTTTAAGCACGATATCGTTACGAAACTCAAAATCAGAAATGTGAAGAATAGGCGATAAGGATAAGTAGGCTTGAAAACAAGGGCGAGGATGGGGGGATATTACGTTTGACTTCAATTCTCAGACCTTTTTTTTAACATTTATATTTAACTATGAGCCGCGATGGCTCAGGGGATAGAGCTTTCGCCTTCCAATGAGGTGAACCGGGGTTCGATCCCGGCGATGGCTGGTAGATACGAATTCCGCATCTGGCTCGCACCGACCACACTGCTGACGCAAAATATTCTCAGTGGTAGACGGATCATGGGTTAGAGTCCCCTTGCCGTCAGACTAACCGAGGGAGGTTCTCGTGGTCCTCCTCTCCATCTAACGCATATGCGGGTTAGTTCGATCAAAAAGTCCTCCACGAAGGCAAATTTCTCCCAATACTTGGTCCAGGAGTTCCCTTGTCTTCAGGATTGGGTTCAAAATGACAAGCCTACGTAGTTGAACATTAGTAGTCGTAGACCCAAAACTTGGGTCGGCTGTTCAACGACGGTTATAAAATAAAAATAAAATATCTAACTATAAAAAATGACAGATCGTAATTGAAAAAAGCTAAAGATATAGGATACCACGGGCTACCGTACTCGAGACTTGCGGATAAGTATGGAATCAAATGATGCCGAAAATTGAATTCTTTTTTTAAAAAATGGGTTTTCGTATTTTTATTTTAATGCTATATAAAAAATCAGCAGAGAATGAAGTACATGTACATTTGCACCGAGTTCCCACGGCCTAGAATTTTCTTAAAGTGGTAGCAAAAGTGAGATATATATAGATAGTTTAAGCTATTAATAAATATTTAATTTAAAGGAAATATGTATGGGAGCAAAAAATAACCCGCCACTCGAAAACTCCATCATCAATAATGCTTTTTAATCATGTACAAAAACACATTTAAGGAAAATTTTCATGACTACTGTAGTGTGTCTACCATTACAAAAATACAATTAAAATTCACTAGTATATAAGATATGTTAACAAAGTAGATGGGAGACCATCGGGTTCCGACCATCAAAACAACCATTTTGAAATATAAACTCCAATATAAATCTTGACCGCTGCTTCAGAGACCGCATGAGAACAAATTGGAAGAAATTCCAAGACGAAATTATGGGGCTGACTGAACTGGGTAAAAATCATATTAGAGATAATTACGATCTAGAAATTACAGCAGAAACTCTGCAGAACAAAATTATAGGTTCATACAATAAAAATTGTCTAATACGATGGAAGTTATGGCCAAAACTCACTTTCCAGGAGCCATTGATATGGATAGCAATGAAGGACAGCATTTCATTGACTCTGTAAAAAGAATACAAAGAAATCAATGGACCTATGCTGAAAATATTATCAATCAAGATAATCAATCAAGACAATTGAAAATATTATCAATCAAGACAATATCAAGACAATGTCTAGAGGGCTATCTCCACCTTCAAACTACTTAAGAGCCTACCTGATGGAATCATGCCTGTAATGATCCAAAAGGCAGGAGATCCTATCATCCCTGTGTTAACCAGAATTTACAGAGCTAGTCTGGCACTGGGACACATTTCAAAGCTATGGCAGAAGACCAGTATTATTTACATTCCCAAACCTGGCAAAAGTAACTATGACCAGGCTAAGTCTTTCAGACCAATCAGCTTATCTTCATTATTTCTCAAAATTATGGAGAAAATTATTGATAGGCGTATTAGGGATTACCTGGGTAGCAATAACCCCTTGCATAATCTACAGTTTGCCTACCAACCTGGTAAATCCAAAGAGACAGCCTTAAACAAGCTAGTATCTAAGATTGAAGACACCCTGGAGAGAAAGAAAATTGTATTGACTACTTTCCTTGATATTCAGGGTGCTTTTGATAATACCTCTCGCCTATCCATTCTTAATGCCTTAAGGGATACAGGGATAGACCAAACTTTATGTTCATGGAT